TCTCTCTCTCAAATAAATAAAATCTTTAAAAAAAAAAATTAAAGAAAATCTGAGACCATGATATTGTGTATTAAAAGCAAAATTATAGGGGCACCTGGGTGGTGCAGTCAGCTAAGCGTCAGACTCCTGGTTTTGGCTCAGGTCATGACCTCAGGGTCGTGGGATCGAGCCCTGTGTTGGGCTCCACGCAGTCAGCATTGAGTCTGCTTGGCACTCTTTCTCCCTTCTCCCTCTGCCCCTCCCCCACAAATACATCTTTTATAAAAAGCAAAATCATAAAGGCTTTCACAGCATGTTTCATTATAACAAAATATACAACACAAGCAACTGCTGGTCAAAAAGAGGTTATCTTTCCACCTGATTTCTAAAAAAATGCAAGGAGCATAACCGGCATTTGGCAGTTTTTTTAAAATGATTTTCTTTTTGAAGATTTTTTTATTTATTCATTTGAGACGCAGAGATAGAGAGAGAGAGAGAGAAAGAGAGCGCGAGCAGGGGGAGAGGCAGAGGGAGAAGCAGGCTCCGCGCTGAGCCAGGAGCCGGACATGGGACTCGATCCCAGGACCCTGGGATCATGACCCGAGCCGAAGGCAGATGCTTAACCATCTGAGCCACCCAGGCGCCCCTAAAAATGATTTCTTAAAAGCTATCATAGGTAGTTTCAAAATCTGAATTAAAAAAGCATAAATGTTATCATCTTCTCGTTCCTGTGCTATAAAAGACGAGCTGCCTATACTGAGACCAGTATGACATGGAATTCTAACAGAGAAAAGTCTGACGAGCTTGCGGAGCAGCAAAGAGAACTTGTGTTCTGCTGGTCGAGTGGAAACAGTTACAACCACCCGAGCACAATTTGATGCTGTCTCATGGGACTGCAGATGGGCATCTTAAGCAAGCCAATTCCACTCCAAAGTATGTAGCAAGTAAAGACTCACGCCTGTCCTAAAGGGGGAGGAGGGGTACAAGACTGTTCCTAACTGTGAGACGCCAAAGGTCAACTCTTAGAACAGCCGCGTGATACCAGAGAACAGCACAGCAGAAAATGAAGGAACCAGAGTCACATTTACAACACACAAAACCTCACACTGAATTTAAAAAGCAAATTCTAGGATGCTATCTCACGCTACCATTTTTAACAGATGTGCTACTTTGGGGAACAGTAGGGGGACAAGCTGCCAATTAAGCAGTGACACAGCTTTCACCTCAACTCTAAGAAGTATCCCCATTTCAGAGGGGGGAATGAAAAGCTCATTTTAGAATCAGTAAAATACCGTATGTAAAATTTTCCTGAAATTTTGCCACCTTCCAATCTGCTGGTCCCTTCATCCAGGATGTCTCCTGTGTCAATTACGGCTCTGACGACAGAAGATTTAAATACCAAGTTCTGGTTTCTTAAGAATTCAGCAGCCCGCCCACAACACCTGAATTCAAGCAGCACAGGGCTCTCCTGCTGACCGTCTGGAGCCCTCAGCTGAGGGCGGGGGATCAACAAAGAGCAGAACCGCCAGGTGAGGCGAGCACCGTGTGCGGCCACAGGGACCCCGGCGCCACCTGACCGCCGCTACTCACCCTTTAGTCTTTCCATCCTCCTCCGGGTAAAAGTCATTTGTGATTTTCCCAAACTTGGAAAAGATCTTATGGATGACGTTTTTGAGCTTCTCCAGGCGGTCGGGCCCCACCTGAGGCACGTTGTCGACCACGATCACCGAGTCGATCCCGTCGGCCTCCTGGGGCCGGTCCTTGAGAATGTCCCCCAGCAGTTCTATATGGGTGGGAGATTGGACAAAGGACTTTTTTTGGGCCAAGCAAAACATTGATACGTTAGTTTAGCACGTTGAACAAATTTCCAAGAAGTAAAAAATGAATAAACGATTTCACTGTGAACAAAAGAAATCAAGGCCCTGAATTGAATCAAAATTTAAACTTTTAAAAGTTAGGAAGATTTTAACTCAATGCTCCCTTTGTCTGTCGATATTTCCATTCATTCCTGAAAATAATGCAAGATTTTAAATGAAATTTTTTTAAAGACTCTAATGCCAACAAAGAGGACGGGGCCTTTCTCCAGGAAAGCAGGGCAGCAACCACCTGTGGTGAGCCTTCTCTGACCCACCCTGAATCAAACCCACCAGCAGGCACTTTCTCCCCATTCGGGTTAAGACAAAACAAACAACTCGAACCCAACAGGACCCAACACTATGTACAACAGACTCGTAAGCGAGGAGACTAGAGGATCCACAAGGCCCTGACAGCAATGCCCCTCACTACCGAAAGTGTCCTGATTCCACGAAATGCCTCACAGGGTGCTTAGAAGGCACCAGCCAGTCCGACCGTAAATCCACAAATGCTTAGGAGTGTGCTTGGGATACAGTAAACAGTACGTGTTAACCATTATTTTCATAACTACACTCAAAAACTAAAAATGTAAAAACAAAACAAAACTGAAAATTATGTTCACGTCACCTACTTTAAAGATTAAGATCATAAAACCCAAATCTTAACATCTTAGATTTGCTTCATTTCCGCAAGACGATTGGCTGGATGAGAGCAAGAGAAAGACAGGGGTGGGAGGAGCAGGAAAAGCAGCACGTGGGGAACGGACCACAGGTGTGGGAGCAGACGAGGGCGCAGTCTGCCCAGGAGCTGCAATGCCACCTGGCTGCTGGCCCACCGCAGTCCTACCTGCAGCCCGCTGCTGGCCTCGAGGCCTTTGGACCGTGAAGCCTCACCACCAATAAACTGCCTGACCCGCCGCTAGAGATGGACATTCACCGGTCAAGTGGAGGACCAGAGATCTTTTTATTATCAATTCTGCACAAACCCTCAACCCAGTTAGCTGGTCTAGAAAGCTGTGAAGTTTCAAAGCACTGGCTACATGAGGAGCTAAAACAGATTAAAGCGCCAGGTCAGATGAAGCTGCAGCAGGATACAGAGCCCAAAGGAGAGTCTGAGGTCACTCTGAAACAGCTGAGGAACGGCGGCGGCTTTTCCTTGTGTACTATGTGTCCTGGAACCTAATTATTACTCCAAGCTTTGAATTCTACTCTTAAGAATTTCAACATGCTAAACAGGATACATGTCCCAAAATATCCCTTGCTGCATTTCACTCCCACAAGACGAATTTTCTCCACTTTTGCACTAGAAATTTTCCATAATAGAAAGTTAAAAAGGTCTTTCAAAAAGAAAAAGTATTTTAATTTCAAGAAGCAAGCCCTGTTATAAACTCTTTAATTTCAATGCTTTCATAAATGATATTTAAAACATTATTTAAGGGCGCCTGGGTGGCTCAGTTGGTTGGGC